GAGTGAGGAATCTGGAGGCATGCACAATACATTTTATACAACTGCCAAACCCACTAAACGTGGTCTTTAGAGGTGAATCTTACTTACTGGAGAGTTCTTTGTCAGATCAGCAATTTCCTTGGTGACACAATAAAAGAGGCATGGGGTTACTCAGTCTTAAGAATGTAGAGATGACGCCTGCCAGCATCAGCTCCAGTGTCAGGTGTAGAGAGAGTATATATACACGTGTGAGAATCCAAAGCAACCACAGAGCAAGTGGCAAGACATGGAGAGGACTGCTGGCTCTTGCTAGCCAGCCAAGCCAGAAAAAGGGTGGGGGGCCAATTCCAGGTGAGACCATGTCTCAAGAGAGTAAGGCATAGTGCTAAAGCAGGATGCCCCCTCTGTCCTCCACATACGTGGGCACACACAGATAACCACACGGATGCACATATCATACACATACACATACACACCACATCAAAACAAAGCACACCAAGCAGGCTGAGAGTAAGGAGCAGACCCTTGGCTAACCTTGTCTGTGAATGAGCAAGGGAGTTTTATGTGAGTGTTCCTGTGAGTAAATGTACATATTTGTTAAATGTCCAGGGAACAGGGATTTTGTCTTATTTCTTTTGCATTGGGCAGTTTCAAATAAAAAGTCTGTGCTGAGCCGGGCGTTGGTGGCGCACACCTTTAATCCCAGCACTCCGGAGGCAGAGGCAGGCGGATCTCTGTGAGTTCGAGGCCAGCCTGGTCTACAGAGCGAGTTCCAGGACAGCCTCCAAAGCCACAGAGAAACCCTGTCTCGAAAAACCAAAAAAAAAAAAAAAAAAAAGTCTGTGCTGTGATGAGGGAGTGAGGAGCAGGTGTTAGCTGGGACTCTGGGATCAAACAGCATGGGTGCCTCCTTTATTGTTTTAATTAATTAACTAATTTATTTATTTTTGTTTGGGGAGACAGGGTTTCTCTACGTAGCCCTGGCTGTCCTAGAACTGACTCTATAGACCAGGCTGGCCCTCAAACTCATAGAGCCTGCTTCTGCCTCTTGAGTGCTGGGATTAAAGGTGTGGGCCATCACACCTAGCTTCGTGGGTGCTTTATTTGCATATTTTATGGATATGGGTGTTTTGTCTGCCTGTACATCTGCACACCAGAAGAGAGCATTCCATGAAACTACAGTTATAGACAGTTGTGAGCCACCATACAGGTGCTGAGAATTGAACTCAGGATCTCTAGAAGCAGCAGCTGAGCCATCTTTCCAGTCACCCCTACCACGGTTTTTCATCAGTAAATGGGTACCTTACAAACAGACCAAAGAGTTTAGAATAGTGGAGAATGACCGAGTCTGGTGGTACCTACAGAGGCAGGTGGAGCAGGCAGATCTCTGAGAGTTCCAGGCCAGCCTGGTTTACACCATAGCCAGTTCCAGGGCAGCCTGAGATCCTCTTTCAAAAAAGGGGGGGAATGACAACTATAACTCGTGTCACAACCAGTGCCTAAGTCCATTCAGAACAAGTTTAAAGGTCATTTACAAGTAAGGGTCATCCTTTTTTCCTACCCTCCATTTCTTCTATGGGACGGGCTATAAAAGGCTGTCAAAGATTTAATATTTCCAGTTGTCCAAACTGCACTTGCCAGGAGAGAGGAGTTTGCCTCCAGCAGAAGCCAAAGTTGGGTGCAGAGCGCCCTCTCCTGACAGAGTCGGGTAAAGGCGACTGCAGCTGACCAAGGCTGAGACCTCCGAGGTGCAAGGGTGCCATCAGCTCCGGGTGTCTCCCTTATATGGAGCCTGGCCAGGGCAGAGGAGGGGGAAGGGGATGCTTTTAAAGCTTCCCGACTAAGAGCTACCTGCTTTCTTGCTTTTCTTTCCTCTAAACTCGTTCTAGAGACGGCCTCGCCCATCGTACTGGGCCAAGTCCCTTGTTACAAAACCCCAGTGCACCCCTCTGCAGGGTTGTCGCCTAAGAAATGAGGAGGTGGGACAGCCTACCGATCGTCGGATTGCTGTGGGACCCTGATGAGCCTCTTAGCCTGAACCAGAGACAGATATCTGTAGAAGAGTACAAGGTCACCTTCATCCACCTAATGATGGAGACTAGCCTGGACTACAGGAGACCCGGTTGCAAAATCCCTACTTGCCTCCCTCCCTCTTTCCCTCCCTCCAGAAAAACACTCAGATTCAAAGCAATCCCAACTCCAGGAACACCCTACGTCAGATCGAAGCTCAGATAGAAGCGCAAAGGCCAGGGAAACAGTCAGGAAGTCATTTCACAAACATTGTGTGTCACACTCTGATCTGGTCCTCGGAGAATGAACATTTGGCCAAACTAGACACATTTCTGACTTTTCTGTTAATGAGACAAACAGGTCATTGGGTAAGTTATGAAAGTGTACCCCGTGTACCCCATATGCACAGTTCAGACACCATGACATCTACATCCGTTTTGCAGGTGGACAGACTGAGCTCAGAGGGACATGGGTGGAGAGGAGTGTTGTCTCCCAGTGGTTGAGTCTGTAGGGATACAAGAAGGCAGTGATGTGTAGCTGGCCCCGTAAAAGCAGCTTCTGGAACTCTGGTCACCCACCTACAGCAATCTGGGAAGAGAAGGGCTGAGGTAGGAGGGAGAATTCTGTTTCAAGGACTGGAAGAAGATTACACAGCCAGCAGACACCTCAAGGCAGACCCAGAGGGTGTTTACACACACAGGAGGGCGCCTGAAGGGAGGGTCGTGGGAGAAGACGTTGGAGGTCTCCGGACAGGGATAGAACAGTGGGGGCGGGGGAGGTCATCTCAGGAGGGCCCCATCTTCTGAAGCAGGCATCCTCAACACTTGGACCTCATTCTTCTGTTTTGTCACCAATGAGCCCAGGGTGAGAGGCTGGACCATAGGAAGGCAAGTGAGGATGCTTTGGAGTGGACAGGCTGGAACAGCCCTTAGCCAATAGCAGGGATCCTGCTCTCCCCACCCCTGGCACAGGGAGCTCAATGTCTGAAAGCACACAGGAAAGGGGGTGCAAAGGGCAAGTGGAGGGGGCAGCTTGCCTCTGCCCGGGGATTGGGAGCCCAGCAGCCTGCCAGAGACATCACCGGAGCTTACACCTAGAGGAGAAGCACCCAGCAGGTCCCTGTGCCTTTCACTGGAGTCTGTGTCCCATTCCCTGGCTTTGTTAGCAGTCCCTGTGTACAGCCTGGTACATGTGTAATTATAGGTGAATCCCAGTTTGTCCGTTTCTCCTCCTCCCCTCCTCACACTGAGATAGAATCTCAAGTAGCCTACGCTGGCCTAGGATTTGTTATATACCTAAGGGTGACCTTGAACTTCTGATCCTCCGGCCTCTGACTCTCAAGTGTCGGGGTTACAGGCACATGCTACCAGACTCAGTTGTTCCCTTTTCTTTTACACAAATAATAGCATCATCCGGGCGTTGGTGGCACATGCCTTTAATCCCAGCACTCCGGAGGCAGAGGCAGGCGGATCTCTGTGAGTTCGAGGCCAGCCTGGTCTACAGAGCGAGTTCCAGGACAGCCTCCAAAACAATACAGAGAAACCCTGTCTCAAAAACAAAAACAAAAACAAAAACAATAGCATCATTGGTCAATTGTTCTACACATTGTTTTTATCTAGTTCTTTATGTAACACACCTTGAAATGTGATATTAATAAACATCTCCCATTAAAAACTGGCAGTCTTTATAGGATGGCTCAGTGGGTAATGGTCCTTGCCACCAAGCCTAATGACCCAAGTTCAATCCCTAGAACACACATGGTGGAAGAAGAGACTCACTACCACAAATTGTCCTTTGATCCCCACATAAATGCTGTACCACACAACACACACACACACACACACACACGCACGCACGCACGCACGCACGCACACACACACACATGCATGCACAAAAAAACTTTAAAAAATAGCTGACTTGCTATATCTCCCTGGGGATTGTACCATTACTTAACAAATCTTCTGAAGGCTGTGTCCACCCTTTCCAGCCTCTGACTTTGACCATCATCACTCACACGTATGTACGTCTTTAGGTTAAAGTCCTCAAAGTGGAGCTGTTTGGTCAAAGGGTATGTGAACCTGTTATCTGGTCAGCAGTTATCAGAGTGTAGTTTATGAAACTTTCTAAACTTCTGTCTTGGGGTTGTTTCTCTAAAGCCTTGCCAACAGTATACAGTCACATTTAAAAACATACACATCTAAGTAAACTTAAAAAGAAACCAAGAGGGTTGGAGAGATGGCTCAGCAGTTAAGAGCACTGGCTGCTCTTCCAGAGGTCCTGAGTTCAATTCCCAGCAACTACAACCACCCTTCAAGATCCTGTGCCCTCTTCTGGCCTACAGGTATACTTGCAGGCAGAACACTGGATACATAATAAATAAATCTTAAAAGAAACCCAGGCTGGGCGTTGGTGGTGCATGCCTTTAATCCCAGCACCTGGGAGGCAGAGGCAGGTGGATCTCTATGAGTTGGAGGCCAGCCTGGTCTACAGAGCGAGTTCCAGGACAGCCTCCAAAACAATACAGAGAAACCCTGTCTCAAAAAACCAGAAAAGAAGAAAGAAAGAAAAGAAACCCAAATAGTGCCTTTTCTCAAACCACATGCAATGTAGCAGCAGACCTTCCACTCCCATATGGCACTAGTGAGACACCTGTCCCCTCATATCTTTCCTTTTCATTATGGGAGGGTGAAAGAGCCAACCCTAGGACATCACACCTAAACATGTATGAGCAAAAAGAACAGATTTGCAAAATGTATGAAGCAAAGGCTGAGGTCTGGAAAGAACAAACTTCAATAGCTCTTTCATCATTTGGAAGAATGACTAAGCATAAAATCAGCAATAGTAAAGAATTTTGCATCACCATTAGCCAGCAGCATGTAATTGACATCTAGCCATGCACGAAACAACAGCAGACACATTCGTTTCAAGTGCTTGAAAAAAACGTGCACCAAGGTTGACCTCATCCTGGGTTTTTGTCCTTTGTTTTCTGCTGTGATAAAAGAAATCCTTACCAAAGAAGCATTTGGGTTCATTTTCACTCACAGTTCAGGATAGACTCCATCGTGGAGCGGAAGTCGAGGCAGCCTGTATCGGTAGGGCACATCACGTCCACAGCGAGAAGAGAGCAGCAAGTGCATGCACGATAGTATCCAGCTCTCATTCTTCATCTTACACAGTTCAGCGTCTCCTGCCTGTGCTGATATATTTAGGATTTATTAAAGCTTGCCTGAGGATTCAGAAAGCAAAGTCAGCCACAAGCCATAGAAGCCAGCCAGGCACACACCTTTAACCCCAGCAGCCAGAAGCTAGGAGGTGGTGGTACACACCTTTATTCCTAGGCCTCAGGATTAAGAGGTAGACGGATCTCTGTGAGTTCAGTGCTACCCACATCTACACAAGATCGATGCAGTCCTAAGAGAAACAGCTCACACAAAGGTGATCTCAGCACCTGGGATCACACGCCTTTAATCCCAGCATTAGGGATGTATATAAGCTAGGAGCAAGGTCTCAGTATCAGGCATTCATTCTCCAGCCACGTTGAGGTAGGAATACTCTGAAGTCTCAGGATTCTCCAGCCATGCTGAGGAGAGGAGCAGTCAGAGGTTTGGTGGAGCCAGGATCGCCTTTCAGTCTGAGGTAGAGTGAGGATTAGAGCCGGCTGCTTTGTTTTTCTGGTCTTCAGCTTGAAGTCTGAACCTCAGTATCAGTGTTTGAGTCTTTCACTTTTCCTGCTGCACCTGCTCAGGGAATGGTCTAACCAAAATGGGTCTTCCAAGCTGATTTCAACCAGTGTGATCCAATTAGCCCCTCATACGCATGCCCAGAGGCTCATCTCCCAAGTGGTTTCAGTTTTCAAGTAAAAATTGACACGGTGGTGTTTGGAAAGAAAATGGCAAGCAAAGGGAGTGGCACTGCTGGGAGGTGTGGCCTTGTTGGAGGAAGTGTGTCACTGTAGGGGCAGGTTTTGAGGCCTTTTGCTCAAGCATCAGTGTGACAGAATGGACTTCCTGTTGCCTGCAAGATGTAGGACTCCGAGTTACTTCTCTAAGTCCATGTCTGCCTGTATGACACTATGTCCCACCAGGATGATAATGGACTGAACCTCTGAACTGTAAGTGAGCCACCTCAATTAAATGTTGTCCTTTATAAGAGTTGCTGTGGTCATGGTGTCTTTTCACAGCAATAGAAACTCTAAGACACTAGTCATCATATGGGTCAAATCTCCACAAATTGAGATGAATTAAAACCACACAGAATATATTCTTTAACCACAACAGAATCAAACTAGAAACCAATGGCAAAACAATAATGGGAAAATGTCTGAACCTTTCAAAGCTAAACAACACATGTCTAAATAGTTCACAGGTCAAAAGGAAGCCCCAGAGAATTTATTTATTATTGTGTGCGTGTGTGTGTGTGTATGTGCGTGTGCATGTGTGTGCATGTGTGTTGAGTGTGATGTGTATGTGTGTGTGTGTCAGTATACACATGCCACAGTGTACATACAGAGGCCAGAGGACAACTTCCAGGACTGGGTTCTCTCCTTCTGCCTTCATGTCAGGGTGGTTTCTGTTTCTGCTTAAGCTTTGTAAATTTCCACAAAATTCTAGGTAATTTTCCTGTCTCCACCTACCATCTTGCCATAGAAGTGCTGGGAATACAGATGCACAGCATTCCACCACATCTAATTTTGTCTCATGTGTGTGTGGTACTATATGGTTACTTGGTTACTTGAAAACTTTATTTTAGAACTGAACCACAGGAGAACTTTTTTCCAAGACAGGGTTTCTCAATGTAGCCTGGCTGTCCTGGAACTTACTCTGTAGATCAGGTTGGCCTCAAACTCACAGAGATCTGCCTACCTCTGCTTCCTGAGTTCTGGGATCAAAGACGTGTGCCGACTTGAGAATCTTTTTATTATTGATTTATTCTTTGAGATTATACTATAATTATATCATTTTCTCCTTCCCTTCCCTCCCTCCAACCATCCCAAGAAGCCACCTGCCACTCCACCCCCTTCAAATTCATGGACTTTTTTTCTTTAAGTGTTGATATGTGTGTCATACATACATATATCATATATATTCCTAAATATATAAATACAACCTACTCACTCTATATAATGTCACTTGTATGCGTATGTTTTCAGGGCTGACTATTTGATATCAGATAAGTAGCAGTGATGTGTTCTTTCCTGGGGAAGACTATTTCTCCTGGTCCCAGCCTTCTTTAGCTGCCTGTAGTTCTTTGTTTAGGGCTGAGACTTGGTGAGCTTTCCCTCTTCCACTGTAGCCTGTCTATTGGTGTCATTCCTGTTCAGGACATGTTCAGACAGCTATATTGCTGAAACTCCAAAGGTGCAGCTCCTCTGACATTCCTATGACACACAGTTGCACACCAAACTTCTTGTTTCTCTGCCTCTTAAAACCTTTCTTCCCGTGCTGGAGAAATGGTTCAGAGGTTAAGAGCACTGGCTGCTCTTCCAAAGGTCCTGAGTTCAATTCCCAGCAACCACATGGTGGCTCACAACTGTCTAAAATGAGATCTGATGCCCTCTTCTGGTGTGCAGACACAACACTATATATATAATATATAAATAAATCTTACTAAAAAACAAAAACAAACAACCACCCTGCTTCCTCCTTCATGACCCTGAGCCTTAGGAGCAGGGTGAGAGGCTGATGCACAGTGGGGACTGGGCTCTACAATTCTGCATTTCCATTGGTTGTAATTTTCTGTAGTGGTCTCTGTCTTTTGTAAGGATTCCTCAATGAGGGATGAGAACTACACTGATCTGAGGGTATAAGGATAAATAGGATATAGTTAAGTAAGGTGGTAGTGGTAGATTCTCCTCCAAGGTCCACCACTTCCCTAGCCCTGGGTAGTTGGCTGGTTTCCTTCCTGTTGAGCAGGCTGTAAGTCTAATCTGAGAGCTGCTGGTTACTGCTAAGGTATCTGTGCCACTGCTACACAGAGTGTACCACACTGGTCATTCTCCTGGTTCAAAGGTGTCATAACTGCGTAGGACTACTGGTCCTTCCTTCCTTAGGAAGCTTGCATGGTGCCTTCAGGTACCATGAAATTTAGTTCTCAGGGAGGGGGCTTTCAGGTCAATTTAAAAAATGGACTCTGGAATCAAATTCAGAACCAACTCCATGTAGTTGTCCTCTGACCTTTACATGCGTGTTAAGGCATGTGTTGTGGAACAATCTTTTTGTACACTGTGAAGATGTGTTGCTCTCATTGGTTTAATGAAGAGCTAAAGGACCAATAGCCAGGCAGGAAGAGGTTAGGTGGGACTTGTGGACAGGGAGAGAGCTCTGGGATGAAGAAGGGCAGAGTCACCAGGAGACTCAGGGAGAAACAAGATGAACATGCTATGCTGAGGAACAGTATCCAGCCATTTGGTAGGATGTAGATAAGAACTACGGGTTAATATAAGTTGTAGGAGCTAGTTAGTAACAAGCCTAAGCTACTGGCTGAGCATTTACAACTAATAGTAAGCCTCTGTGTGGTTATTTGGGAGCTGACTGGAAGGACAGAAAATTCCACCTACAGACATGTGTACACATACACATACATCATATTGACACACAATCAATAATGATAACAGTAAAAGCTTTAAATGTTATAAAAATGTTTAAATGTTATTAAAAATAAATTAAGAACCAGGCAGTGGTGGTGCACACCTTTAATACCAGCTCTTGGGAGACAGAGGCAGGTGATTTCCAAGTTCAAGGGGAGCCCTATCTACAAAGTGAGCTCCAGGACAGCCAAAGAAATCCTGTCTCTAAAAAGACAAAAAGAAAAAAAATAGGCTCAAATCATAGGCTAGCAAGATGGTTTAGTGGGCACCAAGCCTGATGCTTTGAGTTTGATTCTGAGACCCACAGAAGTAAACAGAGAGAACTGAGTCCCACAGTTGTCCCTTAACCCCCACGTGCAAGCTGTGATGACCTGCACACACAGAAATACACTGAAACAAATAAAAAGTAAATAAATAAATAAATGAAACAAAGACCCAACCAGGACAGTCAGGTGTGGAATACTTCCCTATGAATTATTGACCAGGAAAGCTCCAGAGGCCCCTAAAATAATACAGGTTATTGCCACTGTTGTTGTTTGCCCACCAGAATTAGTCAATGTCTTAGTCACTGTCCTATTGCTGTGACACAGCAACTCTTCTAAAAGAAAGAGCTTAACTGGGGGCTGGCTTACAGTTTCAGAGGGCGAGCCCATTGTCATCATGGAGCATTTCAGGAGTGTGGTAGCACTCACGGCACTGGGGCAGTAGCTGAGAGCTATATCCTGATTTTCAGGCTGAGATAGAGTCCCTAGAAGACCAAATGCCAGGGAAGCCTGTTGGGCAAAGTTAAAAGGGTGCACCTTCCGGTGGGCACTGGCAATGTATGCCAAAAAGAGAACATAGGAGGAACAAGAGGTTTATTGGGGATAGAGGAAAGGAGTGAAAGGAGCCATGTGGAGGACACAGCTGGTTGTAGCTCAAGCTGTTGGGTGGAGGGGGAGCAAACAGCCATGTGCTGCCTGGGCATGAATCTCAGCCTGGCTGGGAAGCAAAGTGAGAGTGAGCATCCAAGAAAGGAACAAGTCGGAGACACTGGAAGAGTAATTGTATGGAAGCATGAAAAAATTAAGCTACACAATATTTGTCTAATTTACATATACCAACAGGTAATTGTACCCTGATCCTTAGGCACCTTTACAGACATGAGATTATGGCACTGAATAAAAAAGCTTTTTATGACAGAGAGATATGCCAGCTCCTGGCAGCATCCTGTATCCCTTCCAATATGGATGGATGGATGGCCTCAGGAACCTCCACCCGAAAACTCGATTTGAGTGTGACAATGTCAGACACTAAACAAAAAACTGCTTTTCACTTCAACTGCCAAGACCCTTCCAGACTGAACAAGCAGATCAATGGGGGATCAATCGATTGTCCCACCTGCCAAGACAGGTAGGCCGATCTCCAAACTCCTGCTCCACAGAAAAGGTAAGTACTACTTCTGGTACTTGTATCCCCCAAAAACCATGGAGAGACTTGGGATTGCCTAGGAAGCCGGAAAGCTGTGTCACTTCTGCTCATCGAATTACCTCTCTCAGATCTATCTGTGGTGTCTGATGACTAGGGTACTGATAGTTCATTAGTTCATTAGCTAAGATTCCTGCTAAAAGTACAGACAGGTGTACCTCTTTCACAGGATCCGTAGTCCAGGATTAACAGGTTGCAGATGCAACTTCAGAGTCTGAGTTTTAAATTTCCTCCGATTGTCTTCTAAAAATGTACATGTCTTTTAACCCATAGCCTTTTGCTATGATATCAAGATGTAAATCTGTTCCAGTTGTTTTACAGACACCTGCAGGTTCCTGGGGAAAGAGCTCTGCTACTGTTCTGAGAAATCTGGTCTGGTCAAAACAGTCTCCAGAGCCCATTTTAACCCCACCCATTTTTGTGCATATTTTGCATATTGGCCTGGATCAAGGCCAACCCACAGAGGTTCCA